GGTAACAAGAAGAAAGTGAGAAGAGTGTTATTAAGTTGTGAGAGTTGCAAGGAATGTCATCAAACAAGGGCGCTCTGGTGGTTCAGACAGTTGTGTTGCTAACCCTGGCAGTCAGAGTCCATCAGCTAGATCCAAGGAGCAACTTATTGCGAGGGTCAGCTCTTTGTACTCAAAACCATTAAGTTTGAGTTTGATATGTATTTTTAAATCACAAAACAAATTGTACATGAATTTTCTCATGAGAATAAATGTTCTGTAGAACTTCAGCCAAATATAAAAATCAAACACCTTCACAAAGAGAATTGCATAATAATTTTTTTGTAGTTGTTACTGTTGTTGTTCTGTGCTGTCTAATCATAGCCAACTCATCAGCAGGGTTTGAGAGGTTGTAAAGGAAGAAGATTGTGCACCTTTGTCTTGCAGAGCAGTTGGTGGATTCAAACCATACACATTTTGGATTGGTAGAGCAGCTCCTTACCACTATACAGCCTGGGTCCCCTTTTTAATAGTAGTGATAAATATTTTAAAATCTAAGTGAGGATGTTGGTGAAACATTCTTATAGGTTGTATAGCCCTGGTGTGTCCACTCTCTGTACAGAGGTAACTTGTGATTGCTGTGAAGTTGAACACTGTGACACTGATGCGTCAAATGTAATAACGATTACCCTAGTTGGACAGTGTTTGGTGGTGCTCCCTGGCTAAAACAAGCTTGGAAGCAGGAGTGGCATCCACTTCTGTAAATAGCTTGCCTCGGAAAACCCTACGAACATGGAGAAAGGATGAAAGTCATGCAACTATCGAGGGCTTTAGTTCATAGGGTTGCTATGAGTTGCCTACGACTCGACAGCACTTAACAGCATAGAGAGAGACCAGTTGACCTAGTGGACCGAAAGCGATGCTACCAAGCCAAAGGTGGGTGACTCTAATCTGTGGCCCTAAGACTTGTCTTTAATTGTTTTTGTTCAAACAGTCTTCTAGGTGGTTTAGCCCTGGTGTGTCCACTTGCTGTACAGAGGCAACTTGTAGTTGCTGTGCAGCTGAATACCGACACTGACGTGTCAAAAACGATAATGGTTACCCATGGTGGACAGTGTTTGGTGACGATCCCTGGCTAAAACAAGCTTGGAGGTAGGAGTGGCATCCACTTCCGTAAATAGCTTGCCTCCAGAAACTCTACGAACCTGGAGAAAGAATGAAAGTCACACAACTGTTGAGGACTTTTGTTCATAGGGTCACTATGAGTCACCTACAACTCGATGGCACTTAACAACAGCAAGTGAGGATGGTGACTAATGCTTGGAAGCAGTGAAAACCTGCATTGGGTCCCTATGTATCCTGAAAGGACATACAGCATACGTTTAGGACACACATGCATGTGTGTGTGTGTGTGAAAGAGAGAGAGAGAGATTGATTTAGAATATTTTCTTATTTGAGGTGTGAGACATTATTTCATTCTAGCTCTAAAGAATAATTTCATAGCTCTAAAGAATAATTTCATCTTCATTTTGTAGATTACATGCACACAATGCAAAGTCCATGTAAATTGTTGCCATATTTCAGCTGTTTGTACTGCATTTGTTTTACAAATGAGCTGTAAGAGAAACACATTATAGAATTGTAAGTTGTGAAGGACCTTCTGTGTAATTTAATATAACTTTCTCCTTCTCACCCCACTTAACACTTAAGTATTTTTAACTATGTTTGAGTAATTGTCTAATGTCTTTTTAAAATAACATACTCTTCACTAAGAATGAATGCAATCTACTTTCCTACAGCTCCCCACAATAATTTCTAATTCTATTGAGTGGGAGTCATTATAATGGCTCTTTAAATATTTGGAAATAATTTACTATTGCTGCTTTGTTTTATAAAAATGTGGCAGCTCTAGTTCCTTTAACCTTCCTGCACATAATTGCATTTTCAAGTTCTCTCTCTTTCTGCACAAAAATGAATGCTTCCTAATTTTCCTCATAAGGTATAGTTACAAGGATTCACATTATGCTACAGTACTTTGAGAAAAGCAAAATACGATTTTATACAGTGTGATTTCATTAATAAAACTTAAAAGAGAAAAATTACAAATAAAGACCTTCAAAGTATTTTTCTATTTTTACTCTCCTCATATTGTGAAAATGATTATTAACATTTGTTGTTGTTGTTGTTGTTATGTGCCGTCGAGTCGTTTTCGACTCATAGCGACCCTATGCACAACAGCCCTAAACCCTGCTCTATCCTGCGCCAACCGCACTGCCTCCGACACACCAATCCCGATTACCCCAGTCACCGAATCAATCCATCTCGTAGAGGGTCTTCCCCTCCTGCGCTGTCCCTCCACCCTCCCAAGCATGATGTCCCTCTCCAAGGACCCGTCCCTCCTGGCAACATGTCCAAAGTATGTCAGACGAAGCCCCAGAATCCTTGTCTCCAAGGAGCAGCCTGGTTTAATCCTCTCCAAGATGAATCTGTTTGTTTTCCTGGCAGTCCGTGGTACATTCAGTACTCTTCTCCAGCAAACCCTATTAACATTTACATAATTAAATAAATTATTATGAGATAGAGTGACACAATGACTAATAATAAACTCTTGTATTTTAGAGATAATGAGAATGCTACAAAACAAGAACAAAGTTCAGGTCCATTGTTCATGGGGTTGTTATGAGTCAAAGTGTACATGAGAGCACCTCACAACAACCACTACTCATAAATAAATTATTTCAAATATTTTACCATTATCTGTTTGTATTATGAATATTATTATTAAAAATTACCTATTAGTCACACTTCCTTTATTATGCATTCCTTTATAATGCATTTTATACTTTTAAGATTTAAAATACTTAGCTTTGGATAATTTATATCTAATATAATATGTACATAGGGTTTTCGGTTTTCGAAGGCCTGTAATTTCAGAAGTGGATGGCCAATCCTTCTTCCTAGTCTCTCTCAATTTTTAATCTAAGTGTGCTCTATTGGATTGAAGCTCAATATCAAGAAAACAAAGATTCTCACCACTGGGCCAATTGGCAGCGTCAGTATGGTTGGTGAAGAGATTGAGATAGTTAACAGTTTTAGTTTGCTTGGCTCCACAGTCAACACTCTTGGTAACAACAGCCAGGAAATCAGGAGATGAATTGCATTGGGAAAGTCAGCTGTGAGGGACCTTTCAAGAGTACTGAAGTGCAACGACGACTAAGACTAAGGTGCGCCTGTTCCAGGCTATAGTCTTTGCAATTATGTGTATGCATAGGAGAGTTGGACAGTGAATAGGAATGATAGAAAGAGAATTGATGCCTTTGAGTTGTGGTGCTGGAGAAGAGTGTTGAATATACCATGGACTGCTAGGAGAACAAACAGATTCGTCCTGGAGAGGGTGAAGGCTGAATATTCCCTGGAGTCAAGGATTCTGAAGCTTCGTCTGACATACTTTGGGCATGTTGCAAGGAGGGACTTGTCCTTGGAGAGGGACATCATGTTTGGGAGAGTGGAGGGACGACGCAGGAGAGGAAGACCCTTGATGAGATGGATCGATTCTGTGAGTGGAGTGGTGGGAATGAATGTATTTGAGACAACGAGGTTGGCACAGGATAGAACGGCATTTAGGGCTCTTGTACATAGGGTCACTGTGAGTCGCAAACTACTTGATGGCACATAACAACAACAACAACAATATAATATGATGGAAATTCATCCCAAAAGGATTTTTTTTATGTTATGCCAAATAATTTTCCAAAAGATTTGATGGGGATTTTTAAGATTCTTTTTAAAATCTTTAGGATTTAAATATATAATGAAAATGAAATTCTATTTATCAGATGCAAGAATTCACACTTTGATAAAAGAGTGTGTAATTGTTCATTATAACTAGGTAATGACATGAAATCACACTTCATTGTTAAGGAGTCATATCCCATTATCTCATTAAACCTCCAAACAGTCTTTTAAAAATAATATCTTTTGTTTTAGAGATGAGTAAAGAGTAGCTGTTGATTGACAAGATTGTGATATCTTTGGTCTTCTTGTTACGTGTTACTCATAGCAACTCTATGTATAATAGCTCTCAAGCCTGCCCTACATTGAGTTAATTTTTGTCCTCTAAACACCTTCCTCCTTTACCCCAGTTACTGTGTTAATCCATTCCACCCAGTACATCCTGCGCTGCCCCCCCACCCTTCCATGCATGATGTCCTTCTTCAGACTGTTGGCCATTGTGACTTTTTTTGGGGGGGATGTTATTTTTATTAATTGCTACAATTGAATCTTCTACTTTGAATATATTGCCTACCTATTCCTAAAATGACCCATTCTTAAATATCCAGAGCAGATGTCCTGTAGTAGGACATAATGGACATCTTCTGAGTTTTCATAGTTTTTCACATCAAATGGTCCTGTCCACTTTCCATACCTAGGTTGAGTTACCAGTATCTGAGGAAGTTTCGCTTCTGCTTGATAGGAGGGCTAGTTCCATTTTTTTTTAAGGTTGAAAAGTTTTAATTATTTTTAAAATTATTTTTGCTTTAAACAATTTTTTTATTATACTAGTTCATCTACAAAATTCTAGTATATTGTTTTTCAGAACTGTTCTTCCAGTTTCCCTCGCCCTCCCCATTACATTGTACAACCCCATGAATAAGCTCCCCCTTCCCTTGCACATTCTCATCCCTCTGCTTCCACTCTCCCCTACCCTCTTGGTTACTTTTACTTATTCTACAAGGGTTTTATACAGTATTTGTCCTTGTGGGACCGAGTTAGTTCACTCAGCATAATGCCTTCCAGGCACTCCCAAGTTAGGTTATAATTAACAAAATCACCATTCCTGCACATTGTGACTTTTAAAAGGTTTTCCTTTCTCATTAATACAGTGTTTATTTATCTTCTTTCAGTAAAGCCCTGAGCCAATACTTTTCCCAGGGTGCCTGGGAAGATACAGGGAAAAGAATATATAGGGTAGAGGAGACAGAGAGGGGAGAAAACCAATAAACTGTGGGAGGTGGGACGCTCCTTCACATGGCGACAAGGATTGGAAAGGCCACCATCAGGCAAAAGAGGCCCATGGCCTTTGAGAGAGCGAAGTCCACAATGTCACAAGAGAAAAACAGCTGCTTCAGAGAAGGATTCCTGCCACAACCAGTGATGAGGCTCCCTAACACAGCTCCAGAGCCAGCCACTCCAACTGTGGCAGCCCCAGCCCCAAGAAACTTGGCTGCTGAGCCTCTATCCCTTGAGATGGTCCAGGTTTGGAAGCTGTGACTAGGGATAATTGAAATTAAGGAACATGGGGCTCTCAAGCAGCTGAAGTTTTCATCTGCCAGTGTCTCTGGTTGTTTCAGCACCACTGCAGACAATGGACGATGGCTCAGTAGCTGAGAGGCACTGTTGAGAAGGGAAGGGGTGGAGACAAGCTTGGGGCAGGCAAACATTTTCAGGGGGTGAGGGGCTGTGGCAGGAAAGCTGATCCCAGTGCAGAGAAGACAAAGAGAGGCCATTGTGACTATTTTGGACCTTGATTTTGAACTCACCAATCAATGATGTCTCCTTTGTGATGAACATTTGTCCGCTGCTGGTCATGTGACTCTGGTCCTTGTTTGGGCTACACTGGACACTGATGGTTTGACTCAGGTGAGGGACACAAGCAGTGTTCTTCTCACTATCATGTGGTTTCTGCAACAGTATTTTCCAAATTGTCTTAGTTTCTAAGGTCAATTTTTAGTTAATGGCTGCTGTCACGATGTTAACTGCATTCATGAGTCTTAAGAATCTGCTTCATCTTTATCCAGAAAGCATTTCCTTTGATATCGAGTGACCAAGGACAAGCTTTTAAACAATTTACAGAGGGTTCTATTTGTCTCTTTTCTCTAATTGTTCTGCTCAAGGAAGATAATGATTTCCAGTTTTTGTTTCTTAGTAAGCTCTCATACCTGCTAAAGTAAGAGTGGTGTTTAAATTTTCTCTCATTTAAAACGTTTTATGTGGTACATCTTGGACTTGCCTATAATTGTAGGATTTCCTTTAAATCGCATACACACTGATGATAATAATGAGCAACAAGTCAAAAACATACACTTTATATAGATGATCAAACTTACATTAAAAAGTGATGGAGCACATTAATTCTCAACTCCATTTGATGAAATGCTGTATTTATTTCTTCATATTAGTTTTAAAGTTCTAATTTTTGAAGTGTATAAAAAAGTACTCAGGAGCAACGGTGTCTCTCTGGAGACTAAGGTGCACCTGATACAGGCCATGGTCTTTGCAATTGCTTGTTATGCATCAGAGAGTTGGACAATGACTAGGGAGGACAGAAGGGGAGTTGATGCCTTTGAGCTGCGGTGCTGGAGGAGAATACTGAATGTACCATGGACTGCCAGGAAAACAAACAGATTCATCTTGGAGAGGATTAAACCAAGCTACTCCTTGGAGGCAAGGATTCTGGGGCTTCGTCTGACATACTTTGGACATGTTGCCAGGAGGGACGGGTCCTTGGAGAGGGACATCATGCTTGGGAGGGTTGAGGGACAGCGCAGGAGGGGAAGACCCTCTATGAGGTGGATTGATTCGGTGACTGGGGTAATCGGGATGGGTGTGTCAGATGCAGTGCAGTTGGCGCAGGATAGAGCAGGGTTTAGGGCTGTTGTGCATAGGGTCGCTATGAGTCGCAAACGACTCGACGGCACATAACAACAGAAAAGATTATATTACTTTAAAGGTCGGGAGGTTTGCAGTTGGAGAAGAGCAGTGAACATCCCATGGATGGCCAACAGAATGAACAGATGTCTTGGAGAGGGTGCAACGGGAGTGCACTTTGAAGGCAAGAATGATGACGCTTTGCCTCACATAGTTTGGGCATGTTGCTAGGAGGTGTTATTCCTTGGAGAATGACATAATACTCAGAACGAGGAGGATCAACAAAGAAGAGAAAGATCCTCATCTAGGTGGATTGACACGGTGACTGCTGTAATGGGCTCGTGTCTGTCAAGAAGCGTGGGGATGGCACAAGTTAGAACAGGGTTCAGATCTTCTGTTCATAGGGTCATTATGAGTTGTATTTGACTCAATGGCACCCAAGAACAACCACCACCACCACCAGCTACTACCATATTCTTCCTTAACCAAATTATGGACCAGTTCAATATTTTATGAAAGTGATGTATGGGGGAAAGAGAATAATATTGAAAATCTCTCTTTAAGGTGATATTTAGAATTAATTTTGCTTTATGTAGAATAGTTCCTAAGAAGTGGGTTTTGAAACTCTTGTCTACTGCAAAGAAATTTCCACCACTCAAATTTTCTCTTTCTTTTAGGAAAAAAGTTCACTATTAAAGATCGACAACTATGCTTGACTTGACCACACTTAACAACAGTTATGTAAAATTAACAATGACCAAAAGAACTAGAATAGGATCTCCGAAGTTGTGATATTTACTGTCAGAACCATGATGACCTAGTCCAGAGTGAGCCATGATGCTAACTCAAAGGCATCTCTGACAGTTCCAGTCCACCGGAAAAAGGCAGGTGGTTTTCTGCTGTTGAGATTTAAGAGCTCAGAAAACTAATGAAAGGTGGCAATAAATTGACACCAATTTGAAGACAGTGATTTGAGTCATTACAGAGGTGTGGCCTTTAAGTTACAGTGTAGGTTTCTACAGACTACTCCCTAGTACTAGAAAACGAAGCCCATATGTTGAAAGGCACTGGTATAGTTTGTGTAAGCATACCAAAGACAATCTAAATATAGCAAGGTACCTATTTGAATTGATTTTACCAGAAGTTGGAGAAAGTATGTCAGACAAACTTTGGTGATTCTTTAGTCTAAGGAGTATTTTGATTGTACTTCTTCCAGGACAGGTTTGTTTGCTGTTCTAGCAGTGCATGGTACATTCAGCATTTTCCAACAATGTAATTCAAAGGCAGCTATTCTGCTTATTCTTCCTTGCTAATTGTCCAGCTCTCATATGTACATGAGGTGATTGAAAACACAGTGATTCAGGTCAAGTGCCTCTTTATCTTCAAAGTCACATCTTTTCTTTTTGCAGCATATTTAGTTGATACAGTTTATCTCATTTTTCTGACTGATGCTTCTAAGACCATTGATTATGGAACTAAGTAAAAGAAAATAGTTGGCAACTTCCATCTTTTCAGTTCAACATGATAATGGTCACTTTGTGACAATTTTGTCTTCTTTAGGTTGAGCTGTATCTATACTGAAGGCTGTTGCCATTGATTTCCATCAGGAAGTCTTTCAAAGTCTCTTTGTTTTCAAGTATTAATATTGTTCTCTTTTCTTACAAGTTCTTTTCTGAATCTGGCTTAAATTAAGACAGTTCTCTGAGTTTAGATTGCTCTGTTTTGTACTTATCTTGAGCAAAATTTTACTTGCATGTGATAATGCTAAAGGAGTAGTGTTAACAGGGGAAAGGCCAAACCTGACTTCTACCTACTTCATAAAATGGAACTGTAGACATCAATAACATTCATAGCATCATACAAATACCTACAGGGTCAGTTATGCCACTTCACATGCTATTGCACTTATTTCTACTAATCACTGGGTCCAATATTTATTGCAAATTGACTCACAGACTTTACTCACAGTTGTGGGGCTTTTAAGGGAAATAGATTGGGGAGCAGGAGAGACAAAGAATATCATACCATAATGCAAGGTCAAATTTTATCCAGCAGTTTCAAGCCAGATTAATAAGGCACAATTCCTCAATTAGTTAAAATAGCTTCTCAATCAATAAGTGGAGGTCTAGGTTTAGTTCAGCAGCACAAATAAACCTCTGGCTTTCTCAACTGTCCTGCAAACTTTATCTCAGAGTAATTATATGTCAGCTTTCACTTCAATCATCCAGCAAGTAAAACCTATAACTATAACTCCCATCTCCAGGGTTCCTTTGTTTATACCTCTCTTCATACCACCACTGTGTCTCACAGTGTCTTCACAGTTCCCCCACAGTCTGAAAAACATTTTCTCATATATTGGTCCCACAGTTATGAATAATTTGCAAGACTATGAGTCCACAATTAAGGTAGTGGCAAACCATACCATCCCATGGGGATCAATGTCTAGAAATGCCAATCTACAAGGGATTTGACACCACAGATAATAATGACTTTGCCCAATGATTTTTTTTTAATTCTGCAATGTTATCTTTATTTGGAAATTTTGGAATGTGCTTTTGTTATTAAATTCTATCAAATCAGCTTGTTCTCATAGTGCTCCTATAGGCAACAACATGACACACTGCTTGATCTTGTGCCTTCCTCATAATTGCTGCTGTGCTTAAGCTCATCCTTGTAGTCACTGGATCAATACATCTCCTTGAGGGTCTTCTCTTCCACACCCTTTACCCTCCACTTTACCAAGTACACTGTCTTAGAGTATCCAACACCAAATCCACTGCCATTGAGCTGGCTTTGCCTCGGTGAGGCTGCAGATCCTTATAGAAGGAGACTTTCAGTCTCTTCTCCCAAGAAGCACCCATTGAATTTGAACCTTTCAGTCAGTAGTTTAACACAAAATGTATCACACTACTGTAGTTTAACACATAATATACTATTGTGATTCTGTCTTATAATACATAAATATTAAAACAAGTTGTTTGTGGAGGACTCATAGTGCTCTGAGGTATTCTTGGAACTAAATAAATTTATTAATGGAATAATGGAAATAACTCACAGACTTAAAGTTCTTTGGTGTCGATTATTATTCTGACTAAATACAGATAACACTGTATTTATTTATTTATTTTTTATTGATTCAGTAAGTAAAAAGCAATGACCTTTGTTAATGCAAAGTGTGACCTACTCATATAGAAATAGACCTTACTGAGGTCCTGTTCATTAAAGGATTCTGTTTCTCAGAATTGTGACTATGATGCAGAACATTGACTGCAAATGCTAATTTGTTCCTGCACTTAAGGTACTTTTCTTTCTGTCTTCAACAATATCTGATGTGTTTTCTTTTCTTCAGGAACTTTGTAAAAAAAAGAAATATATTAATTGTAGGGAGTGAATGAATAATAACTTCAAAATAACTTGCTCAAAAAGGTAAAATTAATTGTTGTTTTAAAATGCTTTCGTAGTGACCCTGTGAACAAAATACCTGAACACTTGTATAACTTTCATAGTTTCTCTAAGTTCATAGAGTTTTCAGAGGCAAACTATTTTAGAAGTAGATGCCACTCTTGTTTCCAAGCTTGTTTTAACCAGGGAGCTCCACCAAACACTGTCCAGCATGGGTAACCATTATCACATTTGACACATGAGTATCACAGTGTTTAACATCACAGCAACCACGAGTTACCTCTATAGCATGTTGACAGACCAGTGCTATACCACTTAGAAGAATGTGTGAGGGCCGCAGATTAAAATCACCCTCCTTTGGCTTGGTAGCGTAACTTTCTATCCTCTAGGCCAACAGAGCTCTCTCTATGACTCACAGCAATTCTATGAACAACAGATCAAA